TTGATGTACTGTGCAAAGTAGTTGAGATATTGTAAGAAAACCGAAAATCGTTGATTTCTCGAAACTGCTCTGGACACAAAAAAAGGCGTTTTGTCAGCTGACGGCAGAGCATGCAGTTGTGCATTAAAAGCAAAGCATGGATAAACTGCGTACTCATTAATTGTTAATTTATCGTCTTTTAGTAGTTCATTTATTTACTGAACTTAGTCCATTTTTTCTTCATTTATGTATCTAGATCTGTGCATTTATCAATTGCCTATTTAAGAACAGCAGGAAAAGTAATAAAATCCAGTTAATTACAAACGGTCGGAACTAGCAGATTTGTTTAGAAGCATATTCATATAGATAGACCTAAAAATAAAACATAAGGCAGACAAGGAAATTAGAGTTAGAGAATGGCATACATGTCTCTCAAAGTGCTCAGAATAGCGTTAAGGAGTGCCATATATTTTGTCTCTCAAAAAGAGCACACTATAGGCTACAGGCGGAGTACAATATTTATCTCTCAGGGTGTCCAGAGGGGTAAAATGTACCTCGTTGGTCTCTCAAAGTGTCCACCATAGAGTTAAGAAGTATAAAAATATGCCACATTTGTCTCTCAGAGTGAACTTCATAAAGTTAAAGAGTAGCGTGTTGGTCTCGTCAACCAAAGCATCGAGTTACCAATATATAAAATACTAGCTGGGCCCCCTTTCGATGAAAAGAATGATCGGTGCTTTTAATATAAACTAAAAGTCATTGGCCTATTATATTTACACTCTAGGCCTACTGAAATGAGGAAATAAATCTTGAGAGATGCAAAAAATGAGAAGGTCTAGATCTATACTCTCAAAACAAAATTTTAGCTCAGTGATTAGACGTGTGCTCTTAAATGACATAACTAAATCATAACTTGTCCTACCTGTTTCTTGTCGTTCGCTGTCATACGACCGTCTGTCGGCGGCAGAGAATGCTTATTGCTTTTCATTATTGTTGACGTCAGACGCCTTTGGCGTTTAAAAGCAGTTTTTACAGTATATTGTATTGTTTGAAGCCTAAAAATATCTATTGCGCACACTCTGACGACTCACTGCACCCTTACACAGGATGCTCATTAGCAGGATCGGACCAGATCGGATCGGATCGGATCGGGTCTGGTTGATTTAATAAGGAGAGGGGGGGGGGTCTTGAATTTGAATAACCACTATATCACAGACGCCGGTGGCTCCCGCCTCAGGGATTTCTAAGCGCAACAACCGTGATACTATTTGGTAGTCGGCATATGAAGCCAGTCTTGGAGGAACAAGCTGTGTTGTGAACGATTAGTTTTGTGTAGGTCAACACAGCGCGGTGCTGGATACAGTCCCTGCACCGAGTTACACGGTCTCCAGAGGTCAAAGTTATCTCCGCTTAAATATTTGGGTCAAATTTGATGAAGCACGCCAGGGATCTTTTTGTAGTGTGCACTAGAGCCGCCATAAATCGACCCGATCCGATCCGATTATGCAAATGGGCACCCAGTATTATACCCGTCCAAAGACTTAAGAAGAATATTATAAAAATCCTTGTACTCAGTGCACATTGCCAACTCAATCAATTCAGTCAGCGCTAACTGAAGTTCTCCTCATAAAAAGGCAAAAACTAGCGTTTTGGCACAAAGCGGTCGATTCGAGTTGGGACCTTAAAAAATGGATTGCATTTAGTTGAATTCGGTCACACCGTTCCAAAACTGTTGTTTTAGCCCCTCCATGAAAGATAAAACCATGCTGGAGGGACTGATTATGGCCGTGTGCACTGGGTATAAGACAACTGAGAACGACGTCAGTAAGTGGCCTGCACGCTCCGTTTGTTGCGATAGTATCGTATACATGTAGAATTAGCGTGTGCAAAATGGCTGCTTGTTACTTTTGTTCTTTTCTATAGTTTCGAATTAGAAAATAATTTCCGCTGCACACACACAAACACACACACACATACACACACACACACACACACACACACACACACA